CTGACTAACTTCCAGGCCTCCTATAGTCCAAAGGAACCACAGTCTCTTCCTCATCACTTAGGCAACAAAATCCCAGGGATCGTTGGCCCTTTAGGATCTAGATAAGGCATGCTAGCATTTATATTCCCACTTTACACCCTTGCCTTCTGGATACTCCAAGGGGAAAACAGTACAAGTATTTTTACTCTTGGGTCCTCTTTACATAAGGGAGAAATTTATATTCAAACTTCACCCCTAGACCCTTCCTGGAGTTTGTTATAGTGCACATTTGTTATGGGCTGAATCTTGTCCCCATCAAATTCATATGTTGAAACCCTAGCACCCAGTATCTCAGAATATGACTGCATTTGGAGATAGGGCCTTTAAAAGATGATCAGATTAAAAAGAGGCCATTAGGGCAGGTCCTAATCCAGTCTGACTGGTGTCCTTATAAGAGGAGGAAATTTAGACGCACACAGACACCAGCGCTGCACATGCACACGGGAAAGAACACATGAGAACACAGTGAGACAGCTACGTTTGCAAGGCAAGGAGACAGGCCTCAGAAAGCAAACCTGCCTATTCCTTGGGCTTTGACTTATAGCCTCCTGAACTGTGAGAAATACATTTCTATTGTGTAAGTCGCCAAACCTGTTGGTAATAGGTTATAGCAGCCCTAGTGGACGAATACAGCATTCCCCACATTATAACTCTCTCCCGTCCTTCTAAGAGCTCAATCTTCATTTCCTACTACAGTTTAGTTAGGTCTCATTGGAGCAGGAGCTGGTGGAAGAGGGAGCTAGTTCCCTGCGTTCCTATATGTTCCCCACCCCAATCCATTTTTTGACTTGTACATACTGGGCATTTTGAAGGTTTTGTTTAAGAATCTAGAGTCTTTATTTCATTTGTTCGAATAGAAATGACTGGGAGAAGACAAAAGCAATATGAAGTGTTAAGTTCCAGATCTCGAATAAATATGTCATCTAACATCCCATTGTAACTGTGTGTGTGCATGCTCATATTTTCCTGGAAAATGAGTCCACAACTCTCCTCAAATTCTCCAATGGATTTATGACTGCAAAAATGTTAAGATTCACCACGGTATTATATTTGAAATATGACTGATTTTCAAATATATGATTTACATACAATTTTACAAATATACTATGCCAAGTGAGAGACCCACTAATGTTTATTTTCAATAAATGTAAAATTGTAGCACACTCATTTGTTTTCTTTTAAAAATCTCTTTTTTAATTTATTTTTATTTTTTTAAAAATTTATTTATTATTATTATACTTTAAGTTCTAGGGTACATGTGCATAACGTGCAGGTTTGTTACATATGTATATTTGTGCCATGTTGCTGTGCTGCACCCATCAACTCGTCAGCACCCATCAACTCGTCATTTACATCAGGTATAACTCCCAATGCATTCCCTCCCCCCTCCCCCCTCCCCACAATTTGCCATGAAAAAAGAAGCTAAAGTAAACTGTCTGTGAAAAACTTGATTTCTTCCTCATACTCACCCAGTCCCATGCTAAGAGATCATAAAATCATACTGCTACTTATACTGGGAACAGCTATCTTCGAGCACTACCAGCAGTAAGAAGCATTCCATCTTATTCAATATTCAAACACGCATATGCATTAATACACCATAGAAATTATTGCTTTTTTAATATTTCTTTTTCCTACTTTCTTTTGCCTTTTGTGTCAATGTTCATGAAACAACCAGGAATAGGAGATAGTAGTGGTAAGGAATGACCTGTATTCCTCCCCTCATTTTGGGAATTTTCATCTTTTTCTTCTTCTTCAGCCTACCACTCTAATCTACCTGATTACTACATAGGAACTATGAAAATGTCACTTGGTTACTATCCTTGGCCAAGGTCGTTGGCTGGGGTTTGGTAGCTGGAAGAATCACAGTACTTGGAGAATTTGGAACTGGTTCACAAGTTATAAAGTTTAAGAGTCGTTAGCAACCATGCACTTTGGTGCACACCAGATAAGCAGAGAGAGACAATGTATGTGGGGAGAGAGAGAAAGAGGAGAGAGATACAGAATGGAACAGTTAGTGTGGTGGGGGAAAAGACAGAGAAATTTCTAATGGCCTGTCTCTGTTTCCAGTCATTGCTAGTGCCCAGTTGCATTCTTGTTTTGGGGTTCCATGGGGCAGCCATGTATCTTTACAATAATTTACCCTTTTTACTTAAGTTAGTTCTTATTTCTAACAACATCCCTCTTAATTTAAATACACACAGACATACACGCACAATCATATACACAAGAGATGATGCTAATGTATACATAACAAAGTTTCTGTAATGTTTAAGTTTTTAAAAATTGAGATGAAAACAAAGACTTACTTTATGAGTTACATTAACATAACTGAATAAGCATTAAAAAACCTACATGATGCTTGGTGCTATATTCTAGAAGAGATTTTGAATAGTGAAGGATCATAAAAGTGTAGATATGATGTCATATTAATCTCACCTGAGATAAAAATCTAGAGGAACAATGAATCTATGGAGACAGTGTAGGCTGCTTCACTGCAAAGGAGAGTGTGACAACAGCCCTGTAGATCCTAGCTTGATTTTATTGTTTTAGACAGCAAGGTACCTGCAGGGAATCACCTTTGACTTCTGGCCCTACAAAGATATTTCAAAAGGAGATGAAAAATATTTTGTCCTTCATTGGCAAATGGAGTTATGTTTTGGGGGTACAAGTGGGCAAAAGTTCAAGGTTTGTAAAAGTGAATGCTGAATGAGTTTATTAAACCGTGGAAGCATCCGAATCCTCCAGGCTTATTCAAGGAAAAAGCCACCAAATAACTAAAAAAGGTAAATATCAGGATGATTGATGGATTTTTAAAAATGCCTTGTGGTACATGCATCTGATGGCATCCTGATTCATATTCTCTGTTTTCCCAGAATTCAAACTTCTTACATGATATGCATAGGTAAGTCACATATTTCTCAGCCGCCGTGTAAAAGGACTTCAGCAGCATGGTCCATGTCTGGACTTTAATTATAATAGGGTCATCTAAGCATCTCACTTTAAACTGATTTCCATAGAATCAGTAACTGCATTTATTTACCATTCAGTCTTTTAGGAGGTATGGTTTGGTATTTCTGGCATTGCTGCTGTAGTCTTCATAAACACACACACGTGCACAGACACACACACACACACTCTTCCACTTAAAGTTAGAGGACAGATATGTTAACTATATTTCCAATTTAGTAACAAAGCTCTGACATCCTAATGTCCTGATATTATTTCAATGTCTCTCTTGTGAGAAAAATCAGAAACCGCCCAGTGAGAAAGTTCTATCATCTTTCCAGCAGATCTCTATGAACAGAACTTACCCACTGCTTGGAGATGGGTGTGTTCAGTGCTGCCCCATGGAGGAGAAATCTAACTGTGTGATGGCTTCTCAAAGCTGATTCACATCTTGACAGGGATTATTTATTTGTTCCTCACTCTCCTATCTCTCTGCATTCAGCTCACTTGGGATAGAGGCTGAGCATAGGAGAAAAGGCTTGAAGAGAAACAAAGGGAAGGGCTTCAGGGGCGCCAAGGAATTTCTGGCCTATAGTGTTTATTAATTGATTCTATAAACATTTATTGAAACTACAGAATATTAGTTATTGTCCCAAGCTCTGGGAGCAGAGTGGTGAGAAAAATAAATGAAACGAACAAACAACTCCCCCCTCCAAAATAACAAAAACAAAACAAAACCCCCCGCAAAGTCCCTGTCCTCACTGGCAAGGCTTATAATGTGATGGTCAAATGTTTGAGGAGTGAAAGGATGCCTAGATGCAGGCAGTGACAGCAGGGGTGACAGCTGGGGGTACATACAGCTTCCTAGTTTGTGAAACTGTTAAGCCCCGACTTAACCCAAATTGATTTCACTGTCCTGACTTTGAGATTCCAGTCTTTTTGCATGGCAAATGTAACACTTGTGTACAAGCATTCGTACACTGCTTTATTTAAACTGTGAATTTAAAACGCCCTCAGGGAGGAGGGCTGGGGTGTCTTTATGGGCTGACTCTGGGCACCTTTACCTTTGAATGGCTCCATCAAAAGCTTTCCGAGAGAGCCGCCAGGTGGCACCTGTAAGGCGCAGATGGGGAGAGTCATTTGCCCCACACCCTACACAGCCGGGAATAACCAGGGTGCGTGCTTTCCCCTGTGGGCTTGTTGGCTAGGAAGTGGGGGAGTTTTAGTCTCCGTCCAGAGCGCTTGCTTACATACCCCGTTTTCCTGATACCCCAACACACTCAGGGCGGATTTGTCCCCACGCACCAGGGATATCAAAGGCATGTCACAGGCTAGTTGGGAGCATCTCGGCCTCAGTCACCCGCCGCGACGTGGGGACTGGCGGTGGGTGGCCGAGGGCTGTTCTGAGCTGGTCTCCCCAGCCCGACCTCCGCCCGGGGCAAGGGGGAGGAGAGGCAAGAGACAGGGGTCCCAGCGCGGCTGCAGACGGGGGTCCCGCGGGCGTGAATGGATGCCTAGACGCAGGCAGTGACAGCAGGGATTCCAAGCCCCTTCAAAAAACCCTCGGTCTGGGGACTGCGCTGCCATAGGCCGAGGACTGGGGCGCTTTCTTCCTCCCGCGGGTTCTTTCTCTGTGGTTTCTCCTGCCCCCGCGGCAGCGTGGCGGCCTCGGGTCTCCCCTCTTCGCGGTAGCGGTGATCCCACAGCCCAGTCTGGGTGTCAGACCCAGCGGGCAGAGGGGCCGCAGAAAGGGGTCGGGGTGCGGGGTTTCAGCACACGGAGCCAGCGTGGTGATTTCGGGGTGGGCAGCCCGGCCACCGTCTCCGCTCTATCAGTAGCGGGAAGCGAGCTGCGCCAGTTGCGCGACTGTCGCTGCCGCGGCCGCCTCTACTCGGTCGCTGGTGACATTGGGAGGAGACCGCTTGGAGAGAGCAGAGGAGGAGGAAGAGGAGCGGGGAGGGTGGGGGTTGGGGGGGGAAGAAAGTAGCAATTGTGCCAGGGGGCGTGTGAGCAGCCGGAGAGCCAGCCGCGCTGGTGACAACTTCTCTGGGGCGCGCGCGGGGCTGGCAGGCGTGGAGCGAGCAGGGAGCGCGGCCGAAGCCAGAGGCTGGGGGAGCTGCTGGAGCCTCGCGAAGCCGCGGCCCGCGCCCTGCGCCGTCACCGCCGCCTGCTAGTTTCCTCCGGGTTCTCAGCCCCGGGTGCTGAGGCTTCGGTCTATAAATAGCAGGTTACAGCTCCTCCTGGGCGCGCACACGCTCACAGGCTCACAAGCGAACGCAGGAAAGTCAGGCTAAAAGTGTCTGCTGCTGCTGCCGCCCCCTACTCCGCCTCCGGGAGAGGTAATTACCCGCCTGGGATCCTAGGGCTCGGTGGGGAATTTTGCAGGGTGGAGTGGCTCGTGGTGGGTAATCCGGAAGGCGAGGGAGCGTGTCTGAGAGCGTGGCGGCACGTCTTGGAGGGGGAAGCCTGTCTGTTTTGCATCAAGTTTCTCAGTCTTGCAGCCTCCATCACCCCTCCAGCTCTTTAGCTTAAAGGGTGGGGGGTGCTGTCTCTCCTTGACTGCTGGGGTACCCCTGTCGCCGCGCCTACCCTCTCGCCGAGCGCCCCTCCGCCTGGCGAGCGCGCGTGTTCGCATTCTCACTCACACACGCACACTCTCCGGGTCCCCGTGGAACTCTGAGCTCTGGCCTCGCTGACCTTCCAAGGCTGCGCCCACCTGCGCTGTCCCTGAGAGACGCTGAGGTTGGCCCGGGCACTCGCTCTCACTCCCAATCCTGATGATCGCAAGCTGCCGCCGCCGCCGCCGCCGGCCTCCGAAGAAGTCCTTTAAGGAATAGGGACAGTGGTGGGGAGTGAGGGTGACTGGTGTTGGGGGTCCTGGTTGCCTTGTTTTTTTGTTTTAAAATTAAATAGCCCATCTCCTTGACCACCTTCATCCCACCCTCAACAACTCATTCTGGCAGAGAAGCCTGGCATGTCTTCTCTCGGCCATCAGGCAGCATCTCTTGTCCTACCCCAAAGAGGTCTCGCTGAGAGGTTAGGGCCTTGGCGCGAGAGTGCCTGGGTTTGGAGTGGGGAGGTCATTGTTTCGGGTCTGAGAACTATGCCGCAGGCTCCTCAAGCTCTCTGGCACCTCTGGCAGGGCCCAGGGCCGGAGAATGTCTGGGAGCCTGCTTCCTGAATGTACTTACAGGCTGGTAGCTGATATGAAGATGAGGATGCTAGAACCACATATACCTGTTTTTCCCCCTTCCCACGCTTCTGAATTCTCCCTTCCTTGGGGGCAATAGTCTCTGCTCCTGGGGAGGCGGTGAGGAGGGGCCCAGCAGTTTCTCTTCGGGGACAAGAGGGTGAGGAAGCACGTATTGTTTAGGTTGTTGCTGCTGCTGCACAAAACTTACTGGAAAAACCCGGTAGGGTTTTCTATTACTCTTGTTTTAATGATGTAAATTTGCTCCTTTTACTCTCTTATCTTCTCCCTAACCAGAACTAGTTTTCATTTCTCTTTCTAGAATGGTATTTGAGGTCATTACATTTTATGACTCCAGATGTTACATTTTGAGTATCTCCTTCCTCTCAGTATGACAGACAGAACTTGTTTATAAAGGTGTGGCTCTGTAAGAAAAAGCCTAAAGACAGAGGATAAATTCATCTTCTCTCTCTCTCAAGATAAGCTCCAGATAGTTCTTTCATAGGTGTACAACTACATTTCAAAGACCTTGCTTGAAAAAGGAATTTTCTTAATGAGTTCTGGACCAGAAATGGTAGTAATCTGACTCAATGATAAAGCAGCACAAAAGGTGCAAGGAATCCTCAACAGGGCAGCTGGCTGATGATGTGTAAGAAGTTGAGTAAAGCAAGGACTGGGCAAGTGGGCATTGTCAGTTCACATAGTATACAAAGAAATGCATCCTCTCCTTTATGCATTGATGCACATACATATATTATGTGTTCCTTTGTGATATAATCCGGTAAAGCATTGTTAGGGAATGATCAATAGTTTTGTGAAAGGTACATGGGCATTAAAGGTTTAACTTCATGAATTTGTAGTAATGTAAAATGCTATTGCAAAATGGATTGCTTTTTCAGTGTATTTCTTTAAAATGTGATTTAGAAGATTGTCCTTGAAAGGTTATGAAATGTGTATGTGAAGATAGGCTAAATGCTCAGTGTCATTAAGAAACATGTTTGCTGATTGAAATACTGCTCTTATTCTAGGAGAGTATTCTCTTTGATTAAGCAAATCAATATTTATTTGTGATAAACTAATGATCATTATGATGTGCATATTTATAACTCAAATTTGCTTTTAACTCTTTATAAAGTATAAGAACAACCAGATAGACCATTTAGTCTTGTCCCTCTATTTAAAGTAGCACGCAGTCAAAGGTATAGGCAGAAAATACTTTTAAAATGTTGTGTTCGAGCTTCAGTTTGGGGCTGCAAACTGAATGACTTCATTTCTCATAAGATTTTTGTCAAAACACTAAATGGCTCTAATATCATAGAATCATCAGTTAAACTTGTTTATAAAATAATGCTATTATATTTTAGTTGCATGAAATGGAAAATCATTAAGCTTAGGGAAAAGCCAGATATTTGTTCTAAACTGTGCAACTTGAAAGTAATTAATTCCTTTCTGAAACCTTGGAGTATCTTCTAGTATAAGTACTATAAATCCCCAGATGGGTAACAAAGTTAACTTTCACTACCTTGAGGCAGAACTCAAGATGGCAATTCTTTGAAAGACAGAAAAAAAACCTGCCAACTGATCTTAAAACTCATAGCAGCTAAATGAGTGGCCGTTTCTAGGTAAGTATTTGACATCTGAGAACAAAAAGTTAAAGAAATTGTGGAATCATATTTAGTAAGTAAAATGCTTACTGAATATCTATTACATTTTCTTATTTCATAGTGAGTAATGCCCAGTAGTACTAATATTAGGTATACAAATATCATACCTAATCTGTATAAAATAAATTCTTGTCTTTCACAACTATGAGGATTTTAATAGACAGAAATGCCCTGTTTTAAATAATCTCAAGTTAAATGTTCAGGTGAAAGCTGTGTGAGTCTCTTCTGTATTATGTACCTTAGTTTTTCAACATGTCCTGTATATCTTTCTAAAGCCTTAAGGAATCTTTCCATAGGCCATTTTGTTAATACTTTCAAAAAATGTCGAGTTAGAAACCTTTGATTAGAGAACTCTTTAGAGCATACTCTAATCGTATATACTATAATATTTAGGCTTCAGACATGAGATTATTAAACAATTTTAGTTTAAACATTTATTTTTAGATAAATCCAAATGATGATGCTATGATTGAATTTTGTTGTGCAAAGTACATATAGTCTTTGAGTTCTAAAACTTTAGATCAGTATATACCTAGAAAAGATCAGTATATAACTGGAAAAGACATTAAGATATGTGCAAAAATTTTAATTACTCTTTCAGTCTCAGATGCAATTGTCACTTGAATCAAGGTATGTTAGTTTATTTTTTAAAATGTATTTTCACTACCTTGTGGATTAAAAGAAGCATTTAAAATGTTTAGGAAATTTTATGGATTATATTATATATATAATATACATGGATTATGTATATCCAGTATATTATGTTATGTTAGGATTATTATTTTTAAATATATTATATATATTCTTGAAAGTATCTCACTATCAATGGCATACCATAAGGCCAATGGAATATCTAGGAGCCAGAACTTTAGATTTTTTTCAATGGACTGTGTAATTTCACCAAACATTAGCTGTTATGATAGATGTCATTCCAGCATGATGTGAATTGTGTTTCAATACAGTGTGTGTCCTTAAATAATATATTTCAAACTGAGTTTCTTGAGTTGCAACATTTTGAGTAAATTCTATCTTCTGTATTAGGCAGCCACGCCAACTTGGTTTCCTGATTGTGTATTGAAAGTCTTTAAATAGCCCTATGCAGAACTAAGTGAAATAGAATTGGCAGTAATTTGTTTAAACCGATTAAAGGAAATTTTGAGAAGTTTTTCAAATCATGTAGTTTTGATGATACATTTCTTTGGGAATTATCTAAATCAATAATATTCAAGGGAATGAGGGCAACATCTCCTCCCTTAAAAGGAGAGTATCTATCTATCTATCTATCTATCTATCTATCTATCTATCTATCTATCTATCTATCTGTCTATCTATCATCTATCTATGTCTATCTATCTTTACATGCTCTTCTGGTTATGAAAATAAAGCAACGCAACAAACAATGGTGAAATTACTCAATATTGTTCTTTGTTGTTTCACAAGGATAGAAAAGTTTGTGAGATACACAGACAACTTTAATCGTCATGCTGACTTCTAATGATTGGAGTAACAGCATCGATGTAAACTATCTTCCAAGATCAAAAGAAAATATAATTTTTTTAAATTTTTGTTTACTAGTTGTTTATAATAGATCATTTATTTATACATTTTGAATAGCTTTGAAGGAGAACTTCGAGATTTTTATGTTTCTCAAAAGAGAGTGTGAGTTTTTCAATGTTAAGCGACAATCATTTACAGGGAATCATCTTAATATTTTTTACTATGAAGAATTTGACAGAAATATGAGCCTTTCACTTTAGTTCTTAGAATAGATAGTTGTAGTGCATTAAGTAGATCAGACTTGGGGACTACCATTTTAGAATACAATGAATCAAATAGAATATACTCCCTGACCATCAATAGCAATCTTTCCTTTAGTTCTTTCAAAATGGTTCTCATTCATTTTCATGGAGCTTTGCTTTCTTAGCCAAAAGATCAGAGACGAGCTGTAGCCACTAGAACAACCAAAACACAAAAACTATTCAATGCTGGGAAAATAAAAATAAAGTAGGACTAAAAATCAGTGGGATCTTTAATTGAAGTTTGAACTTATAGGTGCGTGGAGATTATGGCTATTTCAAGAAAGCTTTAAAGTACTATTAGTGATAAGTTAACACTCTATGATGTCTTTTTCAACATCTTCTTATGCAAAACTTGCTAGATAACGACATATTCCACTTAGAAATGAGCACGCATCACATTCATAAGAGAATAGTTGCATTGTTGATGCACAGTAGTTAAAAATCACTTTTTAAAAAAAAGTAAAAATTTCTTGTCTTCATTAATGCAACCTGGAAATCACTTTGTTTTTAAAAAGACAGTATGTCTTTATTAACAAAACTTACAATTTTTTATATTAACTGATCCACTCAGATCTTTTAAATTTTAATTTGAGATAGGGGTGATTTTATGGTATGTGTCATTTCATTTACTTCCAATAGCATTCTTATTTTGAAGAAATTATGAATAAATTATTTTAGACCGTCAT